CAATATGAGACTTTTAGTTCCACCCCAAAAATTAATGCTACGGACTCTTTGGATTGTAACATGCATTTTCATGTTATAACCTCAAATTCACAATTTGACCCCAAGAAAATTTCATTTCCAAGTTTCACATAAAACTGAAAACTGAAAACAATTATCAAACAACTTATAAACAATTTTCAATTAATCTTTTATTTGAAAATTGAAAACAATTACCAAACGAGTTTCATATTTTTAATTTTTTTACAAATGAAAATTGAAAGCTAAAATGGTTATCAAGCATGCCCTTAGAATGTCACAGATGTTAAATCAAAATTTTGAATAGGAAATAGGAGTAAAATGTATACAACTATCATTACTTTGAAACTTCAATTCTTCACGTTCATGATTTGTTGAAAATTGGAGTAAAATGTATAGATCATAATAGAAAGAAAGAAAAGAGCATGGTAATGAGTGGCGTCGATGAAAATTACATTGACGAGTTATTCTTCTTCAGATTTGTTGGGTACAGCTAGAGTGAATTAATTTTTCCACTAAAACAAAACAAGATGCATGCTTTGCTTGACAGGACTGCCATTTGCTGTGTCTTGCAAGCGCACTTCCAGTTAAGCATGCTTTGAGAAAATGCTAAGATAAGGGACAAAGACTTCCACTCAGGCTAATTACTTGTGGAATGCTCATGAAATCAGGTTATATAAGCCACAAGTTAGCTCATAATAAATTCATCAGGGACTAAACCTGGATAAAAGTTCAGATTATGACACAAACAGTGTGTGAAAGTCAAAGCGCTTGAATCAAAATTTAGAATGTCAATAATGTTTTTAAAATTTGAAAATATTTTTGCTCACCACTTTAACTCAAGGTATATCCTAACCATCATTCTCAACACTTGACATGTATCCATGGGCATAACCATAGTTAATTCTTTGATTTGTATTTGTGGAATCAACCATGATTATACTCATAGACACATGTCAAGTGTTGAGAAGTATAGTGATGATACACCTTGAGTTAAAGTAGTGAGCAAAAATGCACCCATCAAAATTTAGGAAATGGGACTAAAATGTATACAACTATCATTAATTTGGAACTTATTCTTCACGTGATGATTTAGGTCAGAAAGAAAGAAGAAAAAAAGGATGGAAATGAATGACGTGGATGAAATTACATTGACGAGTTATTCCTCTTCGGATTTGTTGGGGAAAGCTGGAGTGGATTAATTTTTCCGGTAAAGCAAAGCAAGAAGCATGTTTTGTTTGAATTGTTAGTCATGACAGGACTATACCACTTCCTCTGTGCTAGCGCACTTTCAGTGTTAATCATGCTTTGAGAAAATGCAAAAGTTGCAATTCCAACTTTAAAGAAAAGGGACAACGACTTTCAGTGTGAAAACCCCAAACCATTGTTACTTAGAAATGTTTTTCCTTGTGAGAGGGAAATAAAAAATGAAACAATAATTTCATTGCCCAATGCCATGGTTTAACGTTTTGTATGTATAATGTGTTTTCGGTTCTAGCCACAGTGGAGTAAGTAAGTCAGTGGGAGATTTCTTTGGCTTTGTGTGAGAGATGTGCAAGTTTGTGAGTTTGGGTTCTTCAACCACAACTTTTCACTGATCTGTTTTTTATGTTTTGCCAAAGACTCTTCACTGTTATTTACTCGTTACTCCTTGATGGCATGTTTATTAATCCGTATTTGGATTAGGATGAATTGAATTGAGGATGAGTTGGATTTAGGAGAATTAGATTCTGGATTCCTATTCAAGTTGTTTACTAAACCATATGGATTGAGGGGAGTTAGATTCCGAATTCCTATTGAAGTTGTTTGCTAAATCATATGAAATTGGGGTAGGAGTGGTGCCAATTACTAAAATGTCCTCGTTGTTGGGTTAAAATAAATGGAAAATTTTAAAATTTTAAAATTGTGTGAGAATATAATGGGTAAAAAGATGAATTCCTAATATGTTAGTTCTCCAAGAATTAGAATACCAACTCCCACCCAAGAATTGAATTTCTCCAAAATTAGGAATTCAATTCCTAATTATGTGTGGGCCCCACTTACTTTTTAATTCCTTGATGTGAAATAAATACAGAAATCCTCCACAGGTGGAATTCAATTCCTTATGAGAATTCCAATTCCTAATTAGTAAATATACCATGAAAGGTTTTTTTTATTTATAGAATGTAGATATTTGTAAAATCGCATAAATATCCAACCCACTTTCTGTAAAACTAATTCCTTTGTTTTGAAATATATGTAGGGCCACATCGACCCAGGTGAAGTGACAGCCACTCTCAGGTCTCTTTGGCCTTTTGTCAAGCGCATACGACAATCCAACAATAACATCCAATCAAGCTCTCACTTCTATCAATTTCATTCCATTCAGTTCCAACACAAAAGGACCAATCAAGCTCTCACTTCTATCAATTTCATTCCATTCAGTTCCAACACAAAAGGACAATGCTTCATACGACAATCCAACAATAACATCCAATCAAGCTCTCACTTCTATCAATTTCATTCCATTCAGTTCCAACACAAAAGGACAATGCTTGCCTCCTAAACCCTGATATCAGGAGCCATTCCTCCTCAACAATGATGTGGCCTTTTTAAAAAATGATACATGTTTCTTTTTTTTCTTTTTATTTTATTTTATTTATTTCACTGACTCTCCCTCTCTCTCTTCTCACCCACTCTCTTCTCCTCCCCCAACTATCTCTTCTCTCATCTCCCCGTCTCTCTCTTGAAATTCTTAGGAGGCTTCCAGAAAATAATAACAATGGTGTTGAGAGTGCGACCGCTGACGATACAATAACCAACAAAACCGACGATATTCAGTGGGCGCCCCCATTCATTTGTCTCAAGTTGAACCAAGAGAAAGTTCTAAACGAAACCCCCAAACACTCACCTCCCCATTTGCCCACCAAACAGAGTCATTGACATTTCAATGAATTAATTGCAAAACAACACACCCACCTTTTTGTTATTTTTCTCCACCATAAAACCAGTCTTCCCTCTCTTCTCTCCAATTATGTACATTTCAGACCTTGCCAAAACCCTAGATTTTTTAATGGATTCTCGATTTTTGCTCACTCTTTCTCTTTGTTTCCTTTGCATTGTCCCTCATCTCTCCTATTCCAGAAGAGGAGAGAAGAGAGAGTTGGGGGAGGAGAGGAGAGAAAAGAGAAAGCCGAGGAGATGAGAGAAGAGAGTTGGGGGAGGAGAGGAGAGAAGAGAGAGAGAGAGAGACGAGAGATGAGAGAAGAGAGAGTTAGGGGAGGAGAGAAGAGTGGGTGAGAAGAGAGAGAGGGAGACTCAGTGAAACAAAAAAGAAAAAAAAACATGTATAATTTTTTAAAAGAGACCACATCATTATTGAGGAGGAATGGCTCCTGGTATATCTCAGGAGCCAAGCATTGTCCAACACAAAATGCAAAATTTCCAAAGAGACGAAGACTCAGACTCAAGGGTGTGAAAACCCCAAAAGTCTTCCCAAACCATCTTCCAATTAAGAAAATGAAAAAAAAAAAAAATGAAAAAAAAAAAGGAAAGAGCTTTCCAAGTCTTGAACTTTGAAGACTTGGATTTTATTGTGGAAAAGAGAATAGGCCACATAATAAAATCATGAGACTTAGATTTTATGACATATCATTATGCTCTCTAGCAGATCTACACAAACCATATCTTATAATATAACAATGAAATCCTTGACTTGTTATAAAGTATGCTCACTAGCTTATTACCTCACCATTCTCTATCTCTATAATAATACTATTTCTCTCTTTTCGGCCGAGGTGGGCGACAAAATGAATTTTTGGTCATTCTTCTCTTAGATTGCTTAGGCGTGCCACCACCAAGCTACTGGTTGGTTTGAATGGAAAAAGTTGGATTGTTGTATTCGTGCTTTTGACTTCTACCAAGCAAGGAACCTCTTCTTGGTCTAGTTTCTTTTACTTCCTTGGGGTCGAGGATGGTTAGGTCTCTTATGGGTATTTTTAGTATTTTTTGGGATTTAATGATAACGGTGCAAATTAAATTAAAAGGGGATTAAACTAAATAACAAGAAAGTAAATGTAAAAATAAGATCGAAGCAACAATAAACGTAACTTTTAGTTAGAATAAAACAAGAACGATATGAACGATAAAGGCGATAAAATAAATAAATCTGAAATCAAATTAAACTTAAAGTAAGTTCGATAACAAAAAGTAAAGTAATAAACTTGACTATTAAAACAACGTAATGAAAAATGCAAGAAATTAAAGTTACACTAACGAAAGCGAAGAACCAATTTAGTCTGCTTGCTTAGAAAATAAAAACCTAGTCTAGGGATAGAAAAGTGAAAGACAAAAAGTATGTTTTTGTGTCTGATGTCGGGGTCCCCTTTGAGTTGATTAAGGTATAAGCCATTGTCGCAACCATAAGCGATCAAAGAAGAGCTATATGTATGTATGCCCAGAAAAAGTTTACTGGTCGATGACCCAGATTTTATGTTTGGTAAGTAGTAATGCACGTATTCACTTCTTCTTCTAAATTTAAAACATTAGGGAAATTTTATTAATAGGGTTAAACTTGAATTTAAATGTGTTTTTTTCAAAAATATTGTTGGGTGAACAACTTGAATATTTACAGGGTTTAATTAAAACATCTATAATATATGATAGAACGGAAATTTTTTTTTACACACCAAATAACCAATTTTTTTAATCAATTTTTTTGTTGTTGAAGAAATAGCTTTCATTCAACAACAAAGCAAGCAAGGTAATAAATAACCGATGTATTTTGTGTTGATAAATTAAAAAATTAAGTTGACTATTAATTATCGGTAGTGGCATCGGAGGAGCACTATGAATTTATCCAATAAACGACAAAACAAACCATCAATTACGCTTTTCTATTCCAAAGACTTTGCAATGCTCAACTGAACCCCAAAGACTAACCCACACTATATATAACTAGTAAGGCACGGCCCATACAATATATGCATACCACACAAACAATAACCATGACATCATTAACTTCCGCTAAACTATGCTTCCTGCCTTATTGCCTTGTCATCTTCTTGTATGTTTCATCACCAAATTGGGTTGCTTTTCCTTCTGCTACTTCCACTTCTCATACTGAAGCAAAGGCTCTTCTCAAATGGAAAGCCAGCTTATTTCCGAATCAAGCCCTCAATAACCTCTCCTGGTACGACCCTCCCACTCATAATATTAATGCCACCAATTCTTCCAGCACCAATCCAAAACTAAGAACAAGCCCATGCACTTGGACTGGTGTTTCATGCAACGCAGCTGGAGGTGTCAGCAAGCTAAACCTTTCCACTTGTGGTATTCAAGGTACGCTACATGAGTTTTCATTCTTGTCCTTCCCTAATCTTGAATGTCTTGACCTCAGCCTCAACAAACTCTTTGATGCCATCCCACCTCAAATCAGTAACCTCTCCAAACTCCACTGTCTTGATCTCTCTTTCAATCAATTGTCCGGGAGAATCCCACCAGAAATCAGTATCTTGAGAAATCTTATCCATCTCTATCTCTATGATAATAAACTTTCTAGTTTGATTCCCAAGGAGATAGGGAACTTGAAATCTCTTGTAGATCGAGATTTGTCCAACAACAGTGTAAGTGGTCTCATCCCTCCAGATATTGGTAACTTAATAAACCTAAACACTTTGTACTTGGCTTCCAATCAACTTTCTGGTTTGATTCCCAAGGAGATAGGGAACTTGAAATCTCTTGTAGATCGAGATTTGTCCAACAACAGTGTAAGTGGTCTCATCCCTCCAGATATTGGTAACTTAATAAACCTAAACACTTTGTACTTGGCTTCCAATCAACTTTCTGGTTTGATTCCCAAGGAGATAGGGAACTTGAAATCTCTTGTAGATCGAGATTTGTCCAACAACAGTGTAAGTGGTCTCATCCCTCCAGATATTGGTAACTTAATAAACCTAAACACTTTGTACTTGGCTTCCAATCAACTTTCTGGTTTGATTCCCAAGGAGATAGGGAACTTGAAATCTCTTGTAGATCGAGATTTGTCCAACAACAGTGTAAGTGGTCTCATCCCTCCAGATATTGGTAACTTAATAAACCTAAACACTTTGTACTTGGCTTCCAATCAACTTTCTGGTTTGATTCCCAAGGAGATAGGGAACTTGAAATCTCTTGTAGATCGAGATTTGTCCAACAACAGTGTAAGTGGTCTCATCCCTCCAGATATTGGTAACTTAATAAACCTAAACACTTTGTACTTGGCTTCCAATCAACTTTCTGGTTTGATTCCCAAGGAGATAGGGAACTTGAAATCTCTTGTAGATCGAGATTTGTCCAACAACAGTGTAAGTGGTCTCATCCCTCCAGATATTGGTAACTTAATAAACCTAAACACTTTGTACTTGGCTTCCAATCAACTTTCTGGTTTGATTCCCAAGGAGATAGGGAACTTGAAATCTCTTGTAGATCGAGATTTGTCCAACAACAGTGTAAGTGGTCTCATCCCTCCAGATATTGGTAACTTAATAAACCTAAACACTTTGTACTTGGATTCCAATCAACTTTCTGGTTTGATTCCCAAGAAGATAGGGAACTTGAAATCTCTTCAAGATCTAGATTTGTCCTACAACAATTTAAGTGGTCTCATCCCACCTGAGATTGGCAACGCAACCCAAATTCATGCGCTGGACCTTTCTTCAAATCATTTAGTTGGGTTGATCCCAAAAGAATTCGGTAAGTTGTCTTCGTTGGTGAAATTGATGTTGAATGGAAATCAACTTTCGGTTTTGTATATCATTGGAATTCGGATCATTGAATGATCTTGAATATCTTGACTTGTCAACAAACAAATTGAATGAGTCAATTCCAAGCATTCTAGGTGACTTGTTCAAATTGCACTACTTGAATTTGAGCAACAACAAGTTGGCGCAAACAATTCCATTTAAGTTGGGGAAGTTGGTTCAATTGAATGACCTGGATTTAAGTCATAACTCACTTGAAGGTAAGATACCATCAGAAATGGGCAGTATGCAGAGTTTGGTGACACTTGATCTTTCCCACAACAATCTTTCGGGTTCCATACCATCAAGTTTCGAAGAGATGCACGGCTTGTCGTACATGGACATATCCTACAATCACTTGGAAGGTCCCCTTCCCAACATCAGTGTATTTCGAGAAGCTCCGCTTGAAAGATTGAAAGGGAACAAAGGATTGTGTGACAAAGTTGGAGCTCTGCTGCCACCCTGCAATGCACATGGCTCAAAAAAGGACCACAAGGTCTTGTTCTATGTTCTAGCAGTATTTGTACTTCTATCTGCTCTCTTTGCAATTGTCTTTATAATAGTGAAAAGAAAGAAGAAGCATCAAGATACTAAACAAAACCACATGCATGGAGAAATTTCCTTTTCAGTTTTAAATTTTGATGGAAAATCAATGTATGAGGAAATCATAAGGGCAACAGAAGATTTTGATTCCACATATTGCATTGGGAAGGGAGGACATGGAAGCGTCTATAAAGTGAGTTTGTCATCTGCCAATGTAGTGGCCGTGAAGAAACTTCATCTGCTATGGGATGGCGAGACAAAATTTCAGAAGGAGTTCTTGAATGAAGTAAGGGTACTTAGTGAGATACGACATCGGAACATTGTGAAGCTCTATGGTTTCTGTGCACATAAACGACAATCATTTTTGGTGTATGAGTATCTTGAAAGAGGTAGCTTGGCCGCAATGTTGAGCAAAGATGAAGAAGCTAAAGAGTTGGGGTGGAGTAAAAGGGTGAATATTGTTAAAGGCTTAGCTCATGCCTTGTCTTACATGCACCACGATTGCTTGCCACCGATTGTACATCGTGACATCTCAAGCAAGAACATTTTGTTGGATTCTGATTATAAGGCCTGCGTTTCAGACTTCGGCACCGCTAAGTTTTTAAATCCAAACTCAACTAATTGGACTGCCACTGCAGGCACATTTGGCTACATTGCACCAGGTAATATTATCATATACAATTTCTCTTTTCTCTTGTACCTGTGTATAATTGATGCATAATACAATTTCTTCTATGTGCTTATTCTGAGCAGAGCTTGCATATACAATGGAAGTGAACGAGAAGTGCGATGTTTATAGCTTTGGAGTTGTCACACTGGAAATAATTCTGGGAAGCCATCCAGGAGATGTTTTCTCATCTTTAGTATCCGGGGCATCATCATCGTCCTCATCTGCATCACCTGCCCCTGAAATGCCAATTTCGGAAGTTCTGGACCAACGCATCTCCCCACCCACAAAACAAGAAGTAGGGGAGGTGGTCTCTCTGGTGAAGATCGCATTTGCATCCTTGAATCCCAATTCGCAGTGTCGTCCAACAATGAAGAAAGTTTCTCAGCTCCTGTCATCAACTCAGAGGCTGCATTTGTCAAAGCCATTACATGTGACAACATGTGGTGAATTACTTGCTCTTGATGGTTTCACTGCCTGATCAGGAGATGTGCTGCTTTTCATTGGAGTATGCTTTATTCTAATTCTTCTTAGATGTTTGGATTATTGTAATCTATTTCATGGTGATAGGTGTATGAACATCCCTTGTGCTAGCAACAACTAGAGTGATAGGTGTATGAACATTCATCAACATTTTAGAGATAATAGATACAGTATGGCTAGTCATAAAATCAAGAACCACACACCATAAATATTCACCTAGAAACCCATTATTGGGAAAAACTGGGGGTCATCACTCCGAGCAGGCAATCCACTAAGTCAAGAAGATTCTTACAGAAGAAGTAATTACAAGCTCAAATAATCCTAGGTCTATTTAGGAAATGAGCACTACCTCCCTGTGCAACCTTCTTCTCCAAACTTAATTGAGCTAGAAGCTTGTCCTTCATGGAAATGGTATCTAGTCCATCAGCTCCTTCACCCCACTGCACCGAAACTCAGCTCTGGATTTTAACCAATGAATGAACTATAGATTCAACAACCAATAGATCGATTTCTTCAAGAAATCATTCTTGAAGAAATTAATCCTAGAATTTGTCCTAGAAAAATATGGTGAATGAAAGTGTATTCTAGATGCAGATTTTAAAACACCAAAGTAGATTTCAAACATTTTGGAAAATCTCATTTTGAAAATCGACCATTTTTTCAGCAAGGATTTTACTTTTCTCGCAGAAGAACACTTTCAGCGAGGAAGACATACTTCTCTCAAAATTTGACCTAAATTTGGTCCCCAAATTGGTCTAAGCTATAGAGAGGAAATATTGGCTTCGGCGACAAATTATATTGACGCTGTAGATTGTTAAAGCAAGGAAATAGATTTTTCCTTGCTAAAATTTTAGTGGGAATTCTTCCCAATTCCCTCCAAAACTATACCGAGAAATGGTTTGTGTTCCTCGCAATAGAAGGCTTTTAGCTAGGAACCTTCCTCGCTATACATCTTGTGCAAAATTTTCAATTTATTTTTAAAAGTGCCGCCAATTTTTGTGGCAAAGTGAAAGTTTTGCCTCTTTTTTCTGAAATTTTTGTTTAAAAATGTTGAACAACAATGAGGAATTTAGTGTTTGACACGGTAGGTTGTTCGGGAGGAATGTTTTTGGTCGTAGTATGACATGTATAACGAGGATTGTAATATTTGTCTTCGGTTTTCAATATATCCAATGTACAGTCCCGTTCTCTTTGTCACGGATTCAAGATATTTGTGGTCACCCACCCTTGGATCTAATTTAGAGATGGAAAAGCTGAAGAGGACCATAAGGAGGAACTGAAGGTCATAGGGGTCGACCTCTACCATGGAGTCGGAGGAGGCTGGGCCCCCTGGTGACCAAGAGAACGGAACTGATCCAATATATTTTATTAGTTTTGTTGTGTCTTTCGAATCTTTCAGTTTCACTCCCTTTACTCAAAAAAAAAGAAAAAAAGAAAAAAAAAGCGTAACTCTCGCTCTTGCTCTCACCTCCATCGTCTCCTCCACTTCTGCGTTCCCATCGACAACCGACTACCAACACCGGCAACGACGATGACGAAGAAGTACTCGAACTCCTCTTCTCCTCTCTCTCGCTCAACCCCTCGTCGGGACCCATAGACCCCAAAACTCAACAGTCAACACCCCTCCATCAATTCCTCTCAGCTGCCCTAAATACTTGTTAGTTCTCCACCACCGAAAGTCAAACCCCAATCCCACCCACTTCACCCACCATTCACAGCCCCTCCTCCTCCTGTATCTGAGCTCAACCGAGAATCCAACCCACTCACCGAATTGGTTATCTGGATTGGAAATTGGTATCAAACACTTTGAGGGGTAAGTGTTGAAATCTGAAGTACTATTTTGGATATTAGGAAGGAAAGGGAAGGAAGAGAAGAAAGACTGCAAAATTTTATATTTCTGACAAAATGGATATGCCCGATGCAGTGCCCGATTTGGGTACCGTAGCAATTGTTCTTGCCCGATATTGATAGAAATGAAAGCACTGGCTCATATCGAGCTCAGCTATACACATCCATATTCATATCAAAAAACGGTTACATCCAGATCAGTACAAAATTGATCTGCCAATGTGTGTATGACACTTGGCAATTTCCTACAGGCCTTTTAGCCACAAAATTCCATCAAGCGTAAAAGGGACTTTAAGCTGTTACTTAATCACAATCAGCTGTAAAACTGTAAAACTGTAAATGTAAAACTGTAAAACCAAGTTACACATCAACAGTAAGCATCTCCTCTACTTGGGTCGATTATTTCACTTTCTTTTCTTTCTTAACTTTGTCGCTTCACATCTCTGCTTGCTGCAAAACCCTCTCAAGCCTTTCCATTTTTAAGGGCTTCTGGTAATCTGAGGTGAAATGTTAAAGTGTGTGTTGGTGTATCTGTTAAAAACTCACTTGATCTGCTGAGGTCTGGTTGCATATGGTTCACCATTGACTCTTAACATAAAAATTGATTCTTTCTTATGTATTCTGTTTTTGCATCCCAAATTTTCAATCTCTGCATCATAAGCCTAATTGGATTTGAACTTTAAATTTCAACTTGCTTTGCCCTTTAAAGAAAAATTTTGTTTTCTGTTACAAGATCAGATGCCTATGCAATCCGCGAGACACAAATTTGAATTCCTTCATACAATACCAATTTCAAAGTTAGAAACTAAATGATTCCAATTGTGAATGTCAAAATTTGGGCTCAAGTGTTAAAATATGAACAAACGTTAGAGAGTCACAGACTTTGTCTTTGCTAATTTGTTTTTTTTTTTCTTTTTAAAATGTTCACAGGTGGACTTGGACCTTGAAAATTTTGAGCGATTTGTAGAGCGTTGTGAACAACGTCAAGTTATCCAAGCAGTGGTGGAGAGGCGCAAACACCTTGAGGAGAAGCAACAAAAAAAGAAGTTTGATTACTATTTCAGTCTAGAATTGTTTCCTATTAACTTAATGTTTATACTTGTAAATAAGAGAAAAAATTGCTATTTAATTAGGTAAAAAAATAGGTGCACACTAATAATGCCGATAGAATGGTGATAATACGGCGGGAATTGTTTTGTCGCTATTCTATAGCGTTTAGCTACAAATTCTCTCTCTAAAAGAATACGATAGCGAGAAAGGGATTCCTCACTGTAACACGCATTCAGCGACAGATTGTATATTTTGATAAAGGTACTAATTAATTTCCATGTTAGATTCTTCTCAGGAGCTCGCATCTCTTTAGTCATTGCATCAACCCATTTAAAGCCATATTATAAATAATAATAATAAAACAAAAATAAAAACAAAAACAAAAAAGAAGAAGAAAGAAATGAAGCGGTTGCTGAAGATGAAAACAAACAACCAGAACCAAACCTTAAGGCTTGACTCAAGCTCTTAGGCGCCTCGAGTCGAGTGCCAGGCTCCTTGCTGGGCGGGATGGGATCTTGGTTGGTATCAAGTTAGTTATCAATATCAAAGAAAGGCTTGGACTGGACTTCTTTCTTCAAAGCCGTGCTATGCTATGCTTTGTCTTCCTCTTTTTCTTTTTCTTATATATGTTTTTATTTGTGGTTTGGTCTAAAACGACATCGTTTTAGCCAGAATTTCTTAAAAATAAAATATAGGTGCGCTGCGCTGCGAACCCAAGAATAGAACTCAGCCTTTTGAGGCATTTTCACAAACATGTGGCGGGCACCAAAGGAGCGACAACTTCATCCACCTCCAAAGGTTTTTCCAGCGAGGGAGAGTGCTTCTGTGGGTCCACCAGTGGGCGTGGCAGAACAATCTTCAAAAGCAACTGTTAGATCTCGTAGGAGTTGTCAATTGGAAATCTCTCATATTTATATTGGAATTATTTGGGAATTTGTTTGTGATAAATGTGACCAGTTTGATATCAACTATGATAATTGTGGGAATAACCTTTTTGCGTCTAAGTTTGCTTTGGCTTTGTGAGAGAGATGTGCAAGTTTGTGAGTTTGGGTTCTTCAACCATAACTTTTCACTGATATGTTTTTTATGTTTTGC